CTTTTCACAAGTACAGATTGTTTCAAAGCAGCTTTACAGAAAATCATGATATTCATGTTTATAATATCTCAATCCCGTCATGCCTTTGTCACATTAGCAGATCAGAGCTGGGCGATAATAGAATTTTGTGACAACGCAATCAAGCAGTTGAGATATGCTATATACACTGTAAAAAAAAATTTGGGGAGTTATAAATAAAGATAATTAAAGTGGGTTTTACAAGAAAATACTATTTCAGTGTTTCCACTTTAAAATTTCAATTTGTAACTTACCATTTCTTTGTAAAATAATTGTGAAACTTACTAGCAATTTCCAAGTTTCTACATCAATGTTTTAAGTGTAATGTATATTGCCTTTCGTGAGTATGCTGTATGTATGCGAATAAAGTTGGATATATTAAATAAAGAACTAGGTGATAAGAAATTCGTAGGTCGATTTCCCTAAAGAGTAGCACTTACGAACAATTTTTATAATTACACTCTTCACCTTTAAAGGTGCAGTAGGACATGCTCAGAACGAGCATTTTGATTTGACGAACATTTCTTGGTCCTACACCTTCCACAGAATATATAAATACAGATCAATACATTCAGACCACTTAACTTAATGATTGCTATCGGGATGTGAAGAGACTTTCAACCAGCATAACAAAAAAAATGTTTCTGAAGACAATCTCCTATTGCACCTTTAAGAATATACCATTACAATCCTGTTCAACTGAGCACTAATTTGAAAATCTGGTAGTTACAGACCCAAATCTGATGATCCAAATGGGCAAAATCATGAATGGATGCAGTGAAGTGCCACAGTCTACAATCAGCACTGAATGAGCTAATCTTTGGATTCAGAAACTCATTTCACGCTTTCGCTCAATGTCCTTTTTGAAAGACCAGCCGGAACGTCCTTTCAGTGCTTGTTTGGTGCTGTTCTACATGATGAACCAGTATAGCCATGCTGAAGGAATGATCTGATATTAATATTTAATATCTTGATTCATGAATATTGATTTTATAACGTGATGTACAACTACAAAGCAGACATTGGCAAACAAGCACTAGCCACTGGATATTCGGCTACTTAAGTATTCGGTTCGTTGCTTTTGTTTTATTAGGTCTGCTACAATAAGTTTTCTTTGCACTGCGACTAAGAAATTCTCAAAATATGATCATATTGGAAAACATGGTTTCTAAAAAAACAATGGTTGCCCTAGATTTGCCAACATGGTCTTTCTTGTTGACAAATGAATCCTTACTGACCAATGAACTCTTGCATTCAAAACACGTTGGTCTTTTCAGCAGGGACGTGCCTTGTGTGCCGTTTTAAGTTGTGCATGCGCTTACATGCGTGCATGAGCAAAAACTCAGTTTCCTCAAGAGCAGTCGCTACCAACCCCAATAAACGGCACCAAGCTTCAGCAAAGAATTTGAGCAGCTAAATGGCCTCTCAATCCCCCCAATTGAGTCTACAATGAAAGCCTTCAGTTTTCTGCATTAGCTGTCTGAAAATGGCTAGGGAGGGGAAAGAAATGAGGAAACACTCCTTCTTGGCAAGCTGCATGATTAGTCTGTTAGCTGGCACAAGCGGAGGTCTCCCCACTTCAAGGCGGGAGGAAAGCGGGGAAAAGAAAAAGAGTGATTTCTACTTCCAGAGTATTCTGTCTGGGGGATGTTTCTGTTTCTCTTAAAAACAGCCCTCCTTCTTACCGTCTTTTCTCCCTTTTTTTTTTTTTACTCAAACACACACACACACACACATACAATTTCTTTCCAGTTAGGCCGGTGGACCCACTGGGAACCAGTGCAATCTAGCCTCATTCAAGTGTACAGTTTTGGGAGTTGGGGGTTTTTCAATTCCTCTTGCGTCAGCACAAGTCTCGCCTGCAATCCGCCGAGCTTTGTCATGGTGTGGCATTTGTGTCTGCATTCGCATTAGGTCCTGTTTACACCTGACTTAATGACTTAATTGAAATACACACGGCGCAGCACAATACCAGCACAAATAGCAGATGGGTAAGCTAAAAATTGCAGCTGGTGAATAAGACACAATTCATACTGAATTGTGTTCCCCGTCAATAAAACCCAGGTTAAATCATCCCTGGTCTCCCAGCCGGTTTGACTGGATAGTTCTGATGGTTTTAGACACTTTTCAGTGAGGATGGGAGATCAGCTAGACCAGCTTCAACCAGCTAAGGTTTAGCTAGTCCCCCACCCTGACCAACTGAATAAAAAAGAAAAACTCTCCAAAACCATAACCAATTTGGCCAAACTGGGAGATGTTAGACTGGTTTAAGCTGGTTTTAGTAGGGTTATCATGATTACTGTCATGTCAAAGTACTCAAGTACTGGGGGGGGAAAAAACAGCTTAAACCAGGCCTAAATTTACTAGTTTGCACAGCCAAGGTTTAGAGAGTCCCCCAGTCTGATAATCTAGCGGTCTAGCTGAAATGTGTCCAAAACCCCTCTAAAACCTTAAGAACTGACCAACTTAAACAACTTGTCCAAACTGCGAGGCTTTGTGCTGCTTAAAGGGGTCCTATTATGCTTTTTCACTTTTTCAACTTTAGTTAGTCTGTAATTTGTTGCTGTTTGAGCATAAAAAAGATCTGCAAAGTTACAAAGCTCAAAGTCCACTTCAAAAGGAGATATTTTATTTAACAGAAATCACTTTTCAAAAACTACAACGAACGACTCGTTTGGACTACAACGCATATTTTCTGGGATTTGTGATATCACAAATATCGACGAATGGGACGAGACCTGGTTGAGCTGCACTAGAGAAGGCAACGAGTGTTATCACTATATCGGAGACACGCTAGCTTTCCCAAGGAAGACGAACTTAGAGTGGTTACAATCATCCTGGTTTAAATGGCGCTCAAATTGCTTTGATTTTGACGCAAAACAAAATCAAGACTTTGTAAAAGAGCATAATAGGACCCCTTAAAGTCTTTTTCAGTAAGGGTTTCAAGATGTCATGTCCAAGTTGTCAAGTACTTGAAGAAACAGCAGAGGTCTGCAAACTGGTTTGGGTAGTCAGTTTTGATGGTCTCAGAAGGGTTTGGGACACTTTTCAGCTGATAAGGTGGAGAACTGCTAGATCAACCAGCGAAACAACAGCTTGACCATTCTGGTCGATCATCTAGACCAGTTTAAACCAGCCGAGATTTATTCCCCCAGCCTCATAAGCTATTGTTTAGCTGTTTGGTGTAGCGGACCTCCAACCCTGACCAGCTGTCCAAAACTCCTCTAAAACCATAAAACTGACCAAACTTAAACAACTTGTCCATGCTGCCAAGCCTTGCACTGTTTAACTGTTTTTTTTTTCAGTAGGGGTTTTAAGATTGCTGTCACGTCCAAGTTGTCAAGTACTAGAAAAAAAAGCAGAGGTCTGCGAATTTGTGCAAACTGGTCAGTTTGAATGGTCTTAAGAGGGGTTTCGGACACTTTTCAGGGGAAGCTCAGCTAGACCGACCAGCGAAACACCAGCTTGACCATTCTGGGAGACCATCTAGACTAATTTAAACCAGCCAAGGTTGAGCTACCCAGGCCAGGCTGGTTAAATTGGTCAATTTTGATGATTTTGACGTTTTTTTTTAAATACTTTTCAGATGGTCTGGGTGGGAGGTGATTAAGATCGACCAGATAAACACTAGCTTGCCATGTTGGGAGAGCAGCTAGACCATCTTAAATCAGTCGCTACTTTAGGCTGGTTTAAGCAGCTTGTTTTTCAGCAGGGTTTGCATGATTGATCATCGCTGTCTCAAGTACTAAATTACTTTGTGTATTAAAGAAAAGTATCAAAGATTACACATACTGATGAGTAATTCTCTGCCACAGGCACATTTCACTCAAATTCGATCATATAAAATTCAGTCACACACACACCAAAACAGCTCTCCTACCCTGATGAAAAGACCTGCTAGACCAGTACTAACCAGCAGAAACCAACCTCCACCAGCATGGAAATCACTGGCCTTTTAAGCAGGGCTGCGCAAAACGTCACGCAAACAAGATCATTGACAACGCAGTGACAATCCACTGTTATGTGCGTCAACGGTGAATGTATCAAGAAGTGATTGGACGTGAATGTTTCTTTAAGCACCGGGCATCCTTACGACTGTGATAAAACTCTCCCCTATAATACTGATGTGAAAAGAGAAAAAAAAAACACATTAGAACATCATCCCACACTTTCTTGCTACAGAGCGCCTACAAAGAGCCTTTGTTCTCCCACAAGACAAATGAAATTTCCAAAAGGATTCCCACGGATTCTAAATGCGGCTCTTGTGCTTGCCTTGGCATGAGAAAGTGCCAAAAGCACAGTGGCTCGCGGGCCTACACGCGTCCATTTAGCCAAACAGCCGCTCCGTAGCTGATCCACAAAGGGTAACGTTTCAAGAAACGGACCATCAAGACAGTCTTGTGCATCGGCGATTACACAAAATGTCTGTCAGAGTGCGTTTCGGCACAACAAAGCTGTAGGAAAAAAAGAAACCCATGCACAGGAACTGAGAGGAAAAGAACAATAGCGACCCGTTTTCTTTTTCTGTTAAGAGAGGTTAAAGACACAACAGAACTGTGCTGTTAGGTATGGTGAAGAGGGAAAAGAAAACAACAAGTGGAAAGAAGAAATCAAAAGCAACCCGGCAAACTGGCTCACACCAAGTGACTCCACATAGAACAAAGACTTCTGGAGAAAATCTCACAAAATTGGGTTAGGCAGGCCAACTAGAAACCCAACCACCAAGTAAGAGTCTGGCTTCTGAAGCCCACCCACATTAGAGAAGCGTACATGAATCTGTAGTAGTAAGGAGAAACCCTTTTCCCATGTTGTGTGTGTTTTTCTAAGTGCGAGGGAGGTGGTGTGCAACACCATGTCCTAACCAGGCACGAATGCTTCAACTCACTTGAGCTTCCCAGGTTTGGACGCTGTACTTGAGCTGAAAAGTGTATTGACTGTTTGCATCAATAGTGCATGTGGCATTCCTGCATTGCGCTACTCACCGATGATTGTTGCGGCCAGCTCTTTCTTGCCAGAGCCCAGACTGTTCTTCACCTCGCACACGAAAGTGGTGTTCACCGTTTCGTCCACCTTCCTCACCAGCAGCCGGTTCTGATCCACTTGAACCGAAGGCGGCAACTGACCCGACGCACTAAAGAACCATTGACAGAGAAAAGAGCATTTGTAGCTAGTCTTTAAAACCATGCTGGCTTAACTGTTGTCTAGTTTTATGACTGGCAATCAGGTTCTAACTCTTTCCCCGCCCGCCATTGACAGAATTTTCCAGCATTCCGTGTTTTCACTGTTATACAGTAGTAGGCGCTATTACACATCTTCTGAAAGAATAATGAACATCAGGATCAAAAAACGCAGAGGAAACAAGCGATCACGTATGTAAGCAGATGCATACGTAAAATTACATTAATGAATAGAATTAATGTAAATATTAACAAAATATTTGTTCCCCTTCTAAGCGAAACTTCACCTTATTAGCAAAAAATGCACCCATATATCTCTAAATATATTGTTAAGCATGTTTCGAGAATTAGCTTGTGTTAAACATGGTGGAAAATAATGTCTGCTTGTGTTTGTGTGTGTGTGTGTGTGCTGTTTTTATGCCACTTTAATGCACACCATTATAATTAGGCCTACTCCACTTGAAAAAGTGCCAGATAAATCCGTGTTGCATATTTGTCAACCAACTTCAAACCCTGCAATCAAACTGCTACATCCAAGTGTCTTTCACCCACTAAGTCTTACTAATAAATGTTGTTTCTCGATCTGTATCGATTTATGTTCTTCTTTGTTTTGGTGAGAAAATGAAGTTGAACCAGTGAAGCGTTAACAGGCTGCTGTTGCTTGACACCGCAGGCAGAGATGCTTCCTCAATTCACTGCCATTTAGCCTGTGGCTGTTGTTAGCAGCGAAACTGCCATATTTGACTTTGTTTCAGTCATATCGGAGATGGAACAACAGCACATAAATATAAATATGAAATATGGATTCTCTTCAGACTAAATGAATAGCAATGCTAATGAAAACAGAATGAAAAAATGTTTGTATTGTTTCCTTCCCTTTTTGAGTAAATTCTGTCATCATTTACTCACACTCATGTTATTCCAAACAGAATGCGTTTTTTCTTTAATAGAAGGAAATATTTAGCAGAATGTGCAGCTATTATATATATATATATATATATATATATATATATATACACACACACATTTGAATAGTAGTGTACAATTGAAAATTTAAAAAAAATTAGTTTGCTCTATTCTTTCTCTTGTTAAATTGTATTATAGCATTGCATGAGGAACAGAGCATAATTTAAGCTATTATTTGAATGTATTTCTCTACATCATAGCTCTTGAACAGCATTTATGCTCTCACTCAAACCTGACACTGTCATTCATGAGATAAACGTGATGTCAAAATCTTATTTAAATGTGAATATTCTGCAATTCTTTTTGTGTTCGACCAAAAAAAAAAATAATCATATGGGTTTGGATGCATAAATGCATAAATGATGACAGAATTTTGAACTATTGCTTAAAGTTTATTATAGAGGAACTCACGCTCTCCAGGTAACATCAGTGGGTGCTGGATTGGCATCAGCTTGGCAGGTCAAAACGGCATTAGTCCGACCCATATACCAGTTATTGTCATACCCTTCTATTGTCACAGTGGGTGGATCTAGAGAGAATGTGAGAGAGACATCCATCTGTAAGTCCTGCATTGAAAGTGCAGTTCAAAGGCTGGTTATCTACGTTCAGGGGTGGGAAGAGAAGATACAGGTTTGCTGAAGGTGGCACTGCCCTATAGACTCTCAAAGTGCTTTGACACGCTGGAGAAATGCAAGAGAATGAAAGTGCAAGAGGTGAGGATGTTCCATCAGGAGCGTTTATAAAAGGAAACGGTGAAGTTGCAAATCTCTGACATCCTCAAACATTCCAGCTCAGCTATGCAAACACAGACACCTCAAACACTCTGTAAATAGCTTTCATGAAAAAAAAAAAAAACCGTGAACAATGTGTTGAGGCTGACATGTGAGGCAGAGGCGAAGATGCTTACTGTAAATGCATTTTTTGATGAAACGGGGGGTGGGTGAGGGAGAAAAGGTGTTCTAAGCGAATGATACGGGAGGGATTATGAGTTCACGTGTGTCACTGAGAACAAACACACTTCTTTAAAGGATTAGTTCGGCCAGAAATGAAAATTCTGTCCTCGTTTACTCACTTTCGTGTCGTTCCAAAATCATATGACGCTCGTTCTTGCGTGAAACACTACAAGAGAAGTTTTGAATAATCTGCTTTTCTTTTCAATTACAGTACAATGAGCGGGAACTGACGCTTTCAAGCTTCAAAAAGGACACAAAAGCGCCATAAAAGTCTTGGGAAGTCACACGGTAGCTTTGTGAGTAACGGTGCAAAATTTTAGTTGATTATTGATTGATAATCTTCCCCTCCAGTGAACTACTAGCCGGCAGGACAGGATCATTGAGCGAGTGAAAACGAATCACAAATGAATCAATTCAGACCAGGGTTGTGCTCCCAAGAGCACTGCAAGCCTAAGGAGATTGTAAAAAGTACTGGCACCAAGTTTATGATAAATATTTTTACTTGAAACAAAATACATTTTAACTGAAATAAAATAGAATAAAACATTAAAAAAAGAAAGACTCATTTATTTTATTTACTTTAAATTTATATTATTAACATCAGTTGAACTTGACATACTACAATAACTAAAACTAAAAAATTTATAAAACTATAAAAAAAATAATAAAAACGGCAAGAAAATATTAAAACTTTGAAAACAGAGAATGTAAAAATAAAAAAAGATAAAAACAGTTATTCATAAAAAAAACAATTATCAAAACTTTGAAATTGAAAATGGAAAATATAAAAATTAAAACTAATTCAAAATAATAAAAACTAAAAGTAAACATTAATTGAAATACATTTTTAAAAAAAAAAAGAAAAACTTCAATTTATTTTATTTGCATTAAATATATATTATTAACGTTAGTTTAACTTGACTTACTACAATAACTAAAAAATTATACAAATTCATAAAAATCAGACATTTAAAATAGAATAAAACATTAAAAAAAGAAAGACTCATTTATTTTATTTACTTTAAATTTATATTATTAACATCAGTTGAACTTGACATACTACAATAACTAAAACTAAAAAATTTATAAAACTATAAAAAAAATAATAAAAACGGCAAGAAAATATTAAAACTTTGAAAACAGAGAATGTAAAAATAAAAAAAGATAAAAACAGTTATTCATAAAAAAAACAATTATCAAAACTTTGAAATTGAAAAATATAAAAATTAAAACTAATTCAAAATAATAAAAACTAAAAGTAAACATTAATTGAAATACATTTTAAAAAAAAAAAAGAAAAACTTCAATTTATTTTATTTGCATTAAATATATATTATTAACGTTAGTTTAACTTGACTTACTACAATAACTAAAAAATTATACAAATTCATAAAAATCAGACATTTAAAAAACTGGCAAAAAAAACAGAATGTGAAATGTAAAAAAACTTCAACAATTATTAATACAAAAAATATATATACTATTAATTATTCAAACTTTAAATTTAAAATGAAAACAAATAAAAAAAAATTACAATTAATAAAAACTAACAGTATCTCAATGATATTAAAATAACACTGACTGGCACCAATGGTCTCTACAATCCACTTGCTTGCAAGGTTTTTGGGAAAGGCAGCTGTGATTTATGAACTGGATCAGATTCAATGGAAAGAAAAAATGTATTATTCATTGCTACTTATCTTTTTTTTTTTGCTGTTTTAGAGCTTGACAGCCCTAAAGGCCCGTATTTTTATTATACTGAAAAGACCAACCAGGGTTTTCTTCAGAAAGTCTTTAATAACTACTCCTTGCAGTGTGTGTGTGTGAGTGTGTGTCTGAATCTTACACTCCACCACCAGCTTCAGCGGGAAGGCTTTGGGTTCGATCTGCGTCCTCTGATTCACCATGCAGGTGATTTCTTTTCCGTTTTCAGCAGGTGTCGGGATCATCCGATACTCGCTCTTCACGGTGACCGTCCCGTCCCTCTCGGGCACTGAGGTGTGGTTATAGCGGCCGGCAATGGTTGTGATCCAGGAGATTGTTGCCTCCGGTTTTCCTTGGGCTGCTTCGCACCTGGCCACGACCACCTCAGAAGAGCCGGCTTGCACTGGGATGGCGATAGCAGAGTTTCTGGGTTTGGCTGATGGAGGAAAAAAAATCAAGGGTTTACCATATTGCTTTGCTTTTCAACAGCCTTTTTTTTTTTTTTAAATCAATCAAGTGGCCCTTGAGCTAAAAGACACACAGCAAAGCTACTCAGTACTCAGACCTGTTATTGGCTTCTATTAATGGAATAATATACAGTCCGCTGGTCATTATTGGAAAAAAACACATTGACAGGGTGTTTCAAACATTCTACAGAGCCACTTATTACACAGCTACTTACTAAATAAAAATAAATGGACATGAAATATTGATTGATTACTGGAGAAGAAAGAGCACAGAGTGATACGAGAGACATGAAACTAGCACACTTATGTAGGAAACCAGATGCCTGGGACAATCTGGGACGGTCAATTATACAGGTCATTATACAAAAATATTTGAATTACAGAACTGAGTAGAATCAAGTATATCAGAGAGCTGTGCAATAATGTCTGATAGGGGCTTTTCAATGCATGATACTGACAACTACAGACCTAGAAAAATGCAACAAATGTACAAGTTTAAGAATCTGCTAGGGATGCACCGATACCATCGGGCCCGATACCGATACCAGTATCGGTATCGGTGCATCCCTAGAATCTGCCATTAAAACTAAAACTTGATTTACACCATTTTGTCTTCATTTGCTAAATTAATATGAAATAGTTCATATGAAACAGTTTTTTAATGAAAACAACTGAGACAAAAAAACCTGCAGAAATTAAATTTAAATGTAATGTACAGAATTTCTTCTTGGTTTGCTAAAATTTATTTGAACTGTCATGAAAACAACTGAAACTAAAAAACTGCTGAAACGTAATTAATTAGTTGCTCTATATGGCATTTTACACATATACAGATATTTGTTTCATTTATTTATCATACATTTAATTAAAGATTTACATTTAATTGATTTACTTGTTTGTCTATATTCACTAAAATTTATTTAATTTCATGAAACTTAACTAAAATGAACAAAATTTCATAAAACAACTGAAAAAATAAAAATAATAAATGTCGTGGAAAAGTTCATTTATTTCAGTAATTCAACTCAAATTGTGAAACTCGTGTATTAAATAAATTCAATGCACAGAGACTGAAGTAGTTTAAGTCTTTGGTTCTTTTAATTGTGATGATTTTGGCTCACATTTAACAAAAACCCACCAATTCACTATCTCAACGGCAGGTGCCAAATCCTGCTGGAAAATGAAATCAGCATCTTCAAAAAGCTGGTCAGCAGAAGGAAGCATGAAGTGCTCAAAAATGTCTTGGTAAACGAGTGCAGTGACGTTGGTTTTCAAAATACACAATGAACCAACACCAGCAGATGACATTGCACCCCAAATCATCACAGACTGTGGAAACTTAACACTGGACTTCAAGCAACTTGGGCTATGAGCTTCTCCACCCTTCCTCCAGACTTCGAAATGAAATACAAAAAAATATTCCAAGCCGTAGCGATATGCATATTGCGATATGTACATTTGCGATATTTCGATAATTTCGATATATTTCACAGCCCTAATATACACACACACACACACACACACACACACACACACGCATACACTCACACACACACACACACACACACACACATACACATTAACTACTGAAGAGGCATGTCCAAACAAAGTTAAAAGCAAGAGTTAACAATCAAGATAAAGAGAGAGGTCTGAGTTAATGTGTTACTTTGTGTACTCCGGGGTAAACAGTGAAAGACAAACCGAGCGAGATGCTTGAACACAGCCAACATGGATAAACACTGATTCATAGCATCACTCTGTCTCTGATGAAAGCATTAGCTTAGTCATTCAAATGATGAATCAGGCTAATGGGCGACATTAGTGTTAAAGCAGACAGTAGAAACACTACTGTGAGTAAAGCTAATGTAGTTTAGCACGACTCTCTGTCTGCGCATTGCTAAGATTTCAGTCCGAGCATCAACCTTAAGGTTTGTCGTCTATTTGATAGAATTTTGTTGGCAATATAAAAGTAGCAATGATTGTAAATATTGCTTTGATTTTAATGCGCTAATTATTTGGCCATTAATTTTCCTAAAGACTGTGCCAGTAGGCTAATTTCCTGCTCCCTGCTCAAGTCAAGACCCACGAGTGTAGGAGCAGAGCTATTTTAAGAGCATCTCTGATTTTAACCTCACCGGCATAAATAGCAACTGTAAAGTTTGATTCATTTCCATGAATCAGTTCTTTTCAAATAACTCATTTAAAACACTGATTCAGTGATTTGTTTGAGTCATCATATGGCATTTTACATGCTTTCATATCATTATTGTTATCACAGTGAACTGTTATCCTTCAAGACTGTCTGGAAGCATTGTGGTGACTAGGGATGTGCAATGAATCGTATTTTAATCGTGATCACGATTTCCGCTTAGCATAATTCGTTTGCAATATTTGCCTGCTGGTTAATTATCCTGAAAACTTTTCATTGCATGTTGTATTGGTAACAAGCTTCCATAAGCTTTCAGGATTGCGGTTGCCAAATTTTAAGAGTTTGAATCCCCCAATCATAAATCAATGGGTCAAAGACGAGACATCCTATTTTAATGTCCACATGAAATTAATTTGGATTTTATATACATAGAAAGAAATGCAAGTAAAAGGTCTCCTTTAATGTTTCAAATACTTTTTGCAAAAATAAAATGTCAAAATATAGGTGAAATAGTGTTTCATTCAGCACAACAGATATAATTCTCTAAAAAATAAACAACATACTTATTCTGACCTGTACTTAAAATATATACATGTACTACATTTTATTATATTTTAAATAATTAAAACCTTCTTGATGGCAAATGGGTAAAACCTAGTGGTTTAAAGGATAATGGCAAAGATTGGTAAAGATTAAATTGCAATTAATTAGATTTTGGTGGCTACACTGTGATCACTAAATAGAGTCTTTTAATTTATTTTTCTAAATACTCCTTATAAAACTTGTTGGTATATAAACTATTGTTACACTGAATTATATTTTAGTGGGTGTCTTCTGTGAATCATAGTAAAAATGTTTGACAGTCATTATTTTTTGCTCAGAAAAAATACAATTAAACAGAACACACTGTAATGTAGGGAAAAAAATTAAAGCTATATTAAACTTTTATTGTTATGATGCTCGAAAACAATACATTTTCTGCCAAGTGGTTTACTTAATCCTCCCAACCTGGCAACCACGCGTTTGCGCTCTCTCTACATTACTGACAAAGCACTGATGAACTGAAAACACCAGCAAACATGTAAGTTGGAGTTTAGCCATCTCTATTGACATATTCTGCTCAAAAAAAAAAAAAGGAATACAGCCAGGTTTTTTCACGTAGTTGTTTGCACCTAAATCTAAAAGCAAACCATGCATGTTGACGTTTTCTTGTTTTGTGCTTATGTGAAAGTGCAATAATTCTGATTTCATGTAAAAAAAAAAAAAAAAACTAAACTAAAAAAATAGTTGAGCAAAATAATCATGATCAATTGTTTAGCTACAATCTGGCAGCCCTAGTAGCGGGTCTATAAATAAACAAGTGTGTTACTTACCCAGCATGATAAGAGTGGTAGTCCCTTGCTCATTTCCACTGGGGTAAGTGGCGTACTCGCAGATGTACCTGCCAGCATCAGCCATCCTCAGTTTGTCGATCCTAATGGAGGGGTTCTCCAGGGAGCCCTGAGTGAACGATACTCGGCCATCAAAGTCTTTATTAGGGAAACTGGCTCCATATTGGGGATGGAACACAGCAATGTTGTGCCTATCACCCTCCACACGCTCAAACATCCACGAAACCTGCAAACCAGAAAGAAAGAGGGAATCAATCCTTGCACAGCATTGCTTTTACATGCAGCATACTGCTAGCCACCCGCCTGCCGTTTAAGCACTGGACTAAACCATATGGATGGAGGAAACACTGGACAACTATTGGGCCTGTGATGAACGGTCACTATAGCTTACATTTTTTCAGCACCTACAGGTATTTTATGAATTGCAAATATTTAGTTTTCATGTAAGCCCTGAATATACTGTACACTGTAAAAAATTATTGTGATTTTAACAGTAAAAGACTGTAAAAATGCTACAGTAAAAACCTGTTAACTGGTTAACAGTAAGTTTCTATACTATATTCGGTGAATAAATGTAATTACATTTAATGTAATTTTACAGTAAAATACTGTTAAAAATACGTTTTTTGGAAGTGAAAAAGAAAAAGTAATTGTATAATTTACAGTGTCACCATGATGGTGTTTAGTGTTTGTGTGAATGAGACTGTGTGCACCTTCTATATATATATAAGTATCGTCCTCCTCAGCTCGTAGAAAAGCTGTTTGTGATGAGCTTTGGTTCATCATGTGACTTATCACCACCAGTTTTTGGTGGTTATCAGTGCATTACAATGGTTCAAAACAGATATTAGTACTTCAATATGCTGGTTTATTAACATTACATCAGTTAATGAAATACGGTATTTTATTGTGAATTTAAGTTAAGTCTGTAAAACCTCAAATTCTGCTACCATATTTTTTACAGTGAAGTTCTGGCAACCAAAGACACCGGTAATTTACCCTTAAATGTCACAATTTTTTTTTTTACAGTGTTGTTGAGAACTCTGCATATTTATGTCACCCAAGTATCTTTATCAGGCAGGCAGACAGATTTTATTGAAAACTGTGATAATTCAAAACTGCTGACAACCTTGAAAACATCAGTTTAGAAAGAATTAAAAAGAATAATCATACTTTTGTGCTACAGCATATGCCATCATTTTTTCCAGAGAAATTGTATACATTTAAAAGTAAAAGTACTTTAAAAAGTATTTAAAAGTAAAACTAAATGTATAATGTGTGTGTGTGTGTGTGTGTGTGTGCATGTATGTATACAGTATGTATATATATATTTTATAAATGTTATCGTTTCACAAAAATCTGAAGCAGCACAACTGTTTTCAACATTGATGATAGTAAGAAATGTTTCTTGAGCAGCAAATCAGCATATTAGAATGATTTCTGAAGGATCATGTGACACTGAAGACTGGAGTAATGGTGCTGAAAATTCAGCATTGATCACAGGAAAAAAATAGATCTTAAAATATATTCAAACAGAATACAGTTATTTTAAATTATAATATTTCACAACGGTTTCTACTGTATTTTTGATCAAATAACTGCAGCCTTGATGAGCATAAGAGACTTTTTAAATTCTTACAACCCCAATCTTTTGAATATTTCACACCCAAAGCGCTTTACAATCATATGGGGGGTCTCTCCTCAACCACCACCAGTGTGCAGCATCCACTTGGAATGTTTGAGACTTGGAACTAATCAAGAAAATCTCGTCTCACCTGTGTGAGTTTGGTGCTTCCGCTGTTGGCGAACTCACAGCGCAGATTGACAGATCCATTTGGAGACGCAGTGACCTCGGGTTCCACTCGAACACGCTGACTCCAGACCGCTGCAAAAGAGGACAGAGGGAAACATTAGAACGGCCCGGTATCACAGCCTCCATCAAAATTTCTCAAATGAAATCCAGACATCAGGCTAATAAGAAACACACCAAAATGACTTGCGTTATATTCCTGGGCCTGAGCTTCCTCCGGGAAAAAGAGCAGTCTCAGACTGATTAGAGTGCAGTGGCTTCATATCTATCGACTGAATGTGCAGACTGTCTCAGCATGAGACTTTATCCTGCTTTGATTGCCCATAATTAAAGAGAAAAAAAAAAAAACACAATTTTGAGCTCTCTCATCATCACAGCATCAATCTACATGATCACGGATATGGATCAAAGTTGGGTTGAACAAATGCATCTGGATGAGAAGCATTATTAAAGTCAATATGAAACGTTTTACTCCCACAATGCAACACATTCCCAAGTGAAACAGGATATTCAATGAAACAAGTAGGGTTGCACTTGATTTTATCTGTCAATATCTGATTGGATTTTTTTATTTGGAATAATATGTGCTAATGAATTTATCATAATAAAACCAGGAACATGTTTAACCCTGTAAAGCCTGACATAAGTCTTTTTTTTTTTTTTAATAGAATGGTTTGTTGAACCTTTATAAAAAAAATAATTTAAAAAACTGTATAATTGATACATCAGGCTTTAGTATGATATTGCATAAAAATGCAATTTGGTGCATCTGCTGATAGTTATTCGCCCAAATTAAATTCTGATAGCTTGTAATGTAAATTACATCTTTACACAGATCTTTATTACAGTATAGCAGACTACTTACATAAAATACATGAAAATATCAGTTGTCACTATATATCTGCCAATAAAATGTTCATAAGATGATATTATGAAATGATAAGTTTCAAAACATAATGCAATGCAATACAATGATGATTGAGAGATGACCAAATAAGCATTCCTCAAAAGCCTGATGATCATATTTATACTCACATTTTAACATGAATTTTCTAAAAAAAAAAATTTTTTTTTAAATTATGGAAAGTCGTAAACCTAAGTTGCACAAGTAAGTGTTCATCTTGAAATATTACTAACAATATAAAAGTTATTATGTTTACCTCATAAAAATCAGTAAAGATTTCACTGCTAAACGATGAAGATTTTACTACATAAACCCATGACTATCTTTCTCTTTTTGGGGGGGATAAAAGAGTCATTTAGATCTCTATTATGTGTTCAAGGCCTCATATTATTATGAAAAGAATCTTAATTGTTTTTGCTTGTGTGCGATATAATTAGCCTTAACTTTCTCAGCATCACCGCCTAACACATCGCTCAGCAAATAACAGATGGATTCTGCAAACTGAAAACTGCATTACACACTTGACTTGGACGTAATTAAGTGCATAAATAATTACAAATCATCAAAATCATGTTTATGCTGCTTTTAAAACTGTAACAAAACAGTCAAGTGATCACTATATTATAACAGGAAGTTAAAGCCTATAAAAGAAAATAACTGCACATTTATTAGTGCTACAAAAACAAACCTGCGATTCTATAATGCGCAGTATTTGCCTCACACTGCTGATAAACTCCAACTGCATTGCGGTACAAATCACGACGCGTTCAAAGAAATACTTCCGCTTTTGAAAAGGTTGACCTGGTTGCCATGATGATCCCAGACGGTGATCTTTGTGTCGCCACAGCATTCGCTTATGGAAGGCCGCAAAGTTCACGTTTTTAAAACTCACTCGCTTTCTTTCTGCTTTCACGTTTTCTCACTCGGCCATACACAAAGGCAGGGTAAAATAAACAACCCGTGCTTTGGCTCGGCTACTCGGCCGACTCCAGCGAGCTCCTGCGGAGACAGAAGCGAGAGACCTCCAGCTCAGAGCTCCAGGAGTCAAAGGCCAGCGAGCAGCATAAGAGCTGCTCCATATATACTGATGGAATAAAGAATGGCTCAGTGATCTAAACACACACACACAGACATTCACGAAACAGCTGCTTTTGACAAGCTACAGATACATCAGCGTGCTCAAACGCTCCAAACACAGACCTCAAATTGCATGCACCCCGGAGAGGATTAAATCCATCAAATGCAGGATTGCAACCACATAAAATCATACATAAACAGAGCTTGACTCGGTTATAGAAACGCATACCCTCGAATGCAAAGGCATTGGCCTCTCACGCTACACCCCTTCACCGCATTGAAACGATCCAACTCGGTTTATGTTCCACAAAGGCATTAAATCGATTTGACCTCAGGATGGCAAACCTCCTATAAATCAGATCTGTTAGCTAACACCGACTGAAAAAAGTATACGACACACTGTAGAGGATGCCAAATACTTGTACTGCACTGTAATGTGTCTGTATTAAAAGTACCTGAGGCTCTATGACACAAGCTTGATTTCAATGCATGATTGTGTCAAAATGCAATTTATATTGCAACTTAAGAACGCATCAAAAGAGCTGCTATAGATCATTTACTTGACACTAAAAATTGAAAACTTTATGCATTTTGACCGTTCATTTACATGACAGCGGCGTTTTGGAGGCCTAAAAATGCAAACGTTCGAAAACGGGTTTCAAAGTGCAAGTTTTCAAAAACAATACCATTACTGTCTCCATGTAAACTACAAAAATGCACATTTGGGTATTGAAAATGTGAATTTTTGAAACGTGTTCAGTCAGTCTATAGGAATACACAAGTTTCTTTATAAAGTGACATCGCCAACTAGTGGCCTGGCATGCATAATACAGCATTTTAGTCATTTTGCTGATCTGTGTGAACAGGGAATCGTTTTTTTATATCTATATGTGAAACTTTTCCAAAATGCAAAAGGAAAAACTCATTTTTTAGGTCATCATTTTGGTACAAACATATCTTTAGTCAGGCTATAGTGCCATATTTAATTTTTATCAAGTCAACACTTTGTCAACTGCCAACACAGTGCAACAGTTAGAAGAAAATCTTGCTGGGCCACAAAGGTGGCTAAATTGACATGTTTATAGCTAGCTCAATTACCTGAATAACACCACATGTGGTTTAAAGGCACAGATTCGTCTATATACGCCCCATTAAGCATTCTGATGATGTTTATATCTGTCACAATAATGCAAGAACGCATGGTAGACCAAAAACAAACTTTACACAAAGACAAAAAACAGCTACACAAGCAACATTCATGCTAATGTCTACTACAGCACCCCTTGTGGCACAGTGTCACACATTTACAAAGCCCGCGGTGCACAAAATCGAGCTTACACAGCTAAAAAAAAAAAAACGAAGAAAAAGAAAAGTTGCATTCATGTACACTGAAGGTGGTTTCAGGCAATAATATGCACACCACTCATAAAGATTTCATAAACGCTGTTTCTACTAACTGTTCATCAAAGGATCCTAAAAAACTGATTGATAAGAAATGTTTCTTAAGCAGCAAATCAGCATATTAGAATGATTTCTGAAGGATCATGTGACACTGAAGACTGGAGTAATGATACTGAAAATACAGCTTTGCATTAGAAATAAATTACATTTTAAAATATATTCAGTTAGAAAATGGCTATTTTAAATTGTAATATTATGTTTCACAATAAGTATTTTTGATCATATAATGCAGCTTTGGTGAGTAGAAGACTAGAGAATGACTATTTGATAAGACGTGTAAAATATTTACATTTTTAAAAAAAGGAAAAGGCAAAATAAAGTATGTTATTAAGTTTTTTTTGTGTCATAGAAGACTTATTTACTACTATTCTTATATACATTCATTTCCATCTAAACCTTCTAAATAGTAGTCTCTGTCAACAAGTATTGCTTGTTATTTGTATTTGACTAACAATTTTCGACTAATGCATCCATTGTGGGTATTTACTTTTAATATCCAATTAACGTGTCAAAGGATGGAGGTATCTGAACGTGTGCACATATCACTGTGTGCTCAGTGCATGCCGTATCCAGGGCTCTAATGTCAGGAAGTGTGTGTTTTCATTATACGAGGAACTGCGTGTGACTCATTGTAGCAGAATTCTCCCTGAAGGTACACAATGGCCTGTCAGACCGGCTCGGCAGAATAAGAAACACAAACACAAAGCATTTATTCACTCACCTCGCTCTCCTTACCTCCCTCTCTCGCTCGGCTTTGCTCCTCTTTTGTTTCCTTCTATCTTAGGCTCATAACTCTATTTCCCTCTCTCTCTTCCTCCGTACACATCAACAAATGAGTCATAGGGTGGAATGTAGTTGTACAATGTTTTAGTCATTAGTTTTTCATGGGGTCAATGAAAGAATGCCACGGATTTCAGAACGAAAGAAAGAAAGAGAAAAGGAGAACAATACAGTGAAGACCGAACATGGATCAACTCTGTCTCATTTGCATGCATACCCAGCATACTCTACAGCATACCTTTGTGTTCAAGTGTTTCTGTTCATATTCCTGTACTGATCTACTATTTGCACTGGTTTTAATACCTCTGAAACAGTCGGGCGTCTGCGTGCTGCTGATACGCTTTACTTAAGGATGACAAATTAACCAAAGCAGGCCCGCAACAGGCTCTTAAATAAAACACAAACACATTTAAGGGGCACAAGCAATTTCGCAAAAGCACATAAGCTTGCTTTATGTACTCAATGCAAAGCTCATCTGTGCTTATGTAGAATAACGTGTGATATTCACCTTAGAGTTATTAATATATTCATATATATATATATATGCACCGCAGGGATGATTCTGCCGTAGGGCATCACCTATTTGCACACTAACTAGCATAAATGTTTAATGATATAGATATACATTTAGGTGTAACTTCAAAGGAAAATGTTGTCTTTATGTCATTATTTACACACCCTCAAGACATTACATACAACTATCTTTGCTCCTTGGGGGGTTTGAACAATAACATTGTAATTACATCAAAAAGGCAAGGCAAGGCAAGTTTATTTATATAGCACATTTCATACACAATGGTAATTCAAAGTGCTTTACATAAAAGAAAAGAAAATAATCATAAAAAATAATCAC